ATGGAAGGGTTAGGGTAATACGTGCATCTCACGTGGTCAATGCGGTCGCTACAGCGAGCTACAACTGCCCTTCCGGCCTCCCCCGGGCCATGTTCAAGCTCAGGTTCTATGGTAGACATCCCATTTTGGGGAAGCCGCGACACCATTCACTTCCTTCCAACTCCCGCCTTTTGGGTTCTCCCACTTAATTTCCTCTTATGTACAGCCACGAAAAACTTTTCTGTTTGGAAAAGAGTGGCATGGGGAGTTCAACGACAGAAGCTAGAAGGAAGTTTTCATGACATTGCCGGCAGAAGAGTACCTTGGGTAGTCATGAACACAAACAGCACGGTATCATTAGTGAGTTTGCGCATCCTTCAGATGTCAGTCGCAACCAACCACTAACACCGATTTCGTACCATAACAGATCCACCCATCTTTATATCCAACATTCATCACCACCATGGCAGACCAGACACCACAGGCGTCGAAGCCGACAACGCCGGCCATCTCAACGCCGACTCCGACTCCCGGGTCGGGGCCCACCATTTCGTCCTCCGCATCTACTTCATCCTCACGGCCATACGTACCACAGTTCTCGGCCGCTACACAACTCATCCTTCAGCGCCTGAAGGCCAAAGAGGGAAAGAATGATGGCGGCGGGGACAGTTTCAGTTCAGTCGTGTCGTCGACGAAAACGATAGTGGTCACGGGCGGCGGCAGTCCTACTATCAAGCTTGAGCCAGATGCGTTTGAAGACGCGAAGAAGAGGTTGGTGGCAGGTACAGGGTTGAAAACCTCAACTTCCATGAGCTTAAAGATGCCCCTGAGCCAGCCGAGCATGAAGATGCCAACACCAACACTAGCACCTAAGACGACGACCACAGCCACGAAGAAGAACCTTTCTCTGCCAAGTAGTAGTGTGTCGACGGTAGCCCGTGCTGCTTCGACAACAAACCTCTCACTACCGTTACCACCGCCGCAACCTCCAAAACACAGACCCCTAACCTTCAAAAGCGGCACAACAAGTGCCATCAAGAACATCAACAGTGGCCTCACGGCGTCAGGTAAGGTCTCAGTGATCAAGCCGCCCAAGCCCGCCGCCGCTGCCGCCTCCGAAAAGGAAAGCAAACCCAAAAAGGCCAAGACGTCAACAGGCAACCCAGTCGGCCGTCCCTCCAACTCCAGCAAAGCCGCCGCCACCGCAGCAGCAGCAGCTGCTGCAGATTCCACCGGCAGCAGCCACAGACGGAAACGCATAAAGCAGCATCAAGATGTCGACGAACTTAGCAGTCTCTCCTCTCTCTCCGATGTCTCCGAGCCGGAAGAAGCCGGCCCAGCTACACCATCCGACGCCCAAACCGCCCCCCTCCTAACCATGACCAAGTCCGGCCGGCAAGTGCTCAAACCCACCACTTACAACCCGGCCACCGTCGACGCCGCCAACAAGAAACACCGCGGCACTAACTCCTCCACGCATGGCCACTACGGCAAGCATCGCACAGCCGAGCAAGCCCTCTGCAAGAAATGCACCCGCTTACACTCGCCCGCTTCGAACCCCATGGTGTTTTGCGACGGGTGCAACGAAGGGTGGCACCAGCGGTGTCACGACCCCGTTATCCCAACGGAAGTGATCCGTGATCAGACGAAAGGGTGGGTATGTGCGGTGTGTGTGGGGAAGAGGGGAAGACATCTAGTAGGAAAAAAGCAACAGAAACGTGAACTAGAGCAGCAGCAGCAGCAGCAGCAGCAGGGACAACCAAAGGCAACCAAAGAAAGTTGGGCCGACAAACCCCCCCAGCAAAAACGTGCTTACCTGTCTACTCTGCCGCCGCAGGAGCTGGTCGGGTTGTTGATGCTTGCGTTGGAGGTGAAGCCTGATTTACCTATTTTCCCTGGTCCTCCTTCTCCACCACCATCAGCTAAGATGTCCAACGGGAACGGCCACAAAGGCAAGGGTCTAAAAGACCTGGTTCTTTCCCGAGAAACCAGCCAAGAAAACCAAGGCGGCGAGGGAGAGGATGAAGAAGAATACGACCCGCTAGCGGCTCTGTGGCCTAAGCCGGGTAATGGTCTGTACAGCTTGCTGCCCTTCGATGTGGATGATGATGAGTATCTGGTGGACAGCGGCGATTTTGAGGCGTTCAGCTCCATTATGTATGATGACAGGGGGAGGAAGGTACTGGAGAATGGCTTGAGGGTGTAGGAGGACTCTGAAAGTGTCCCCAACAGGAATTGGTCCTCACGGAATTGGCTTCGGTCTGGGTCAGGCTAGGTGGGGGAAGGACAGGAGGTCAGATGTAACTAGCTGGATTTGACACTCTGAACAGCGTTGATTGTGGTATAATGTAATGTACTACATATATTCAACTGGGCTGAACGGAGTCTCTTGGGATCCAAACGACGAAAGGACATACCTTCGCGCAGTTCTTTAGCCTTCGGTGAACGTCGGAAGCAAACACTAAACCCGGTCAATATACAAACATCTCTATTATCACGCCATACGTAACATTCATGTCTCTTGCTGCCTTTTGATCTCCCTCATTTGCTCCCTTCAAGGCTGCTTCCCAATTCCTCGCCCTAACTATGCATTTCATACATTATGTTTCAGTTTTCAGCCATATGTGCGGTATGAAAAATACGCGTACTATCAGCAAAGCGCCTTTGCTACCAAACATTTCGACAGCACCGCGAGCTAGCAAAGGCGCAAAAGCCAAGTATAAGGGGTACCCAGATACTGCTGCCCAGCAGCCACACCCTCTCCCTTTCACAATCACTATTACGCCCCAAAACCCAACGGCAATTACTCAGACAACGATTAGACGTAGCGCAATCATCGGAAGTTGTTGTCGAAACGCTTGAAAGTGTATCCAATGAAGGGCAAGCTGAGTTCTGGGCTTTCCTCCTGCTGCGCAGGGCCAGCGGCGCCTCTAGCGGCCTGCTGAGCCTTGAGCACCGTGGCGTTATCCGTCTGATCAATCTCGTCCGTAGGGAAGTATGTGGTATCGATGGCGGATGTGAGACGGGGTTCGAAGGGCGCACGGATGCGGCGCAAGCTGTCGAACTCAACGCCGCGGAAGAAGGCGTGGCTCTTGATTTCGTGGGCACCACCACGGCCGAGACGGTTCTCAGTGTTGCAAATGAGACTATAAGATGTCAGCAACGTGAACAATGAGTAACAACCTGAGAAATTACACACCTTCTGATAAGAGCCTCAGCATCTACACCAAGAGTGATGTCATCCGGGAAGTAGAGCGTATGCCTCCAGTTAACGATCTTGCGGTAGGTGTCGTGGCTATCCTCGGCGCAGAAAGGAGGCCAGCCGACCAAGCACTCGAACATGATGGTACCCAAAGACCACCAATCGCAGTCAAACGAGTAGCCATGGCCGGTGAAGATTTCGGGAGCAATATAGTCCGGTGTACCGACGGTTGAGTAGGCCATCAAACGCCTAGAGCGTCTCCAGTCATTGATCTGTGCACGGTTGCTGACCGTCAGGTTGATTTGGTCAATAGCAATCGAGTTGCGGTTGTCGCGGGGCTTGTTGGATTTGCCCTGGAGCAGCTGTGTGTAGTAGTTGTTATCGTGGAGCTTGTGGAAGCCGGTAGAGAGACCGAAATCTGTAAGCTTGACGTGACCACCCCTGTCGAGAAGGATGTTGTCTGGCTTGATATCTCTGTAATCGCACACATGTCAGTATCTAGCAGACCAATAATTTCGGCCAAGCTTACCTGTGAATGAAGCCCAACTTATGGACGGCCTCGATAGCCAAGACAATTTCGGCAATGTAGAAACGGGTGATATCCTCCGAGAAGATTTCGTATTTGATCAGCATGGTCATCAAGTCGCCACCGGGCAAGAACTCCATGAGCATGTAGAGGAAGTTCGCATCCTGGAAGGTGGTGTAGAGCTTGACGACCCATGGGCTGTCCGACTCGGCCAAGATGTCTCTTTCTGCTCGGACGTGGGCAAGCTGGTCCTTCTTGAACATTTCCGTCTTGATGAGCGACTTCATGGCGTAAACCTTGCCGTCGGCCTTTTTCTGCACCAGCTTGACCTCGCCGAAAGCGCCCTTGCCGATGATTTTGACGGTCTGGTAGTTCTCGGGCTTGTCCTTGGTTCTCAGGAAGCGCAGATACTGGCCCTCCTTTCGGCCGGCGGTTGACCAAACCGATTCGCGACGGCGGGGATCATTGGTCTCACCGAGCTTCTGCTCCATCTCGCTCTGTCTACGTGATGTGTCAGTACCGTTCGCAGCTGGATGTAGGGGCAACAGCGCATCGCTGCAGCATTCACCTCTGGTTGCGCTCCCTAGCGCGCTTCACGCTGTCCTTGAAGAAGTCTGAGGCCAGCTGCGAGCACTTCTTCTGGTTGTTGTTCGCATTGGGGCCATATCTGTCGGGGTTCCGTTCGGGGGCAGGAGCGAACTCGAGCTGAGCATTCGAGGGCATGGGCGCGCTCAGATAGCTGCCATAGGTTTGCTGCTGGCCAGAGTTTCCGGATGTACGAGGGCGCTGAGCGGGAGATGGGCCACGAGAGCCGTAGGGAGAAGCTCTTCCGGCACCACCAATGTTCTGATGGGCGAACTGGTGGGCGAGACCGGTGTTGGGGTCATTGCTAGTACCATCAATGTTAGAATAAGCTTGAGCGAAGCCGTCGTCGGCACCTGGGGTGTAGTGGTTGGCATACTGGTTCTGTTGGTAATATTGGCCGGACTGCTGCGCGTAGGCTTGGTTGTATTGCTGGCCAGCCTGGGCGCCACCGGCTTGTTGACCTGGGAAGACGGGTTGGGGGAAGGTCGACGGGGTGGTGGGATAAGTACGATCGTTCGGGGCCATGCGGGTGTCGTTGATGCCCAGGTTGAGATGTGGGCGGTTGTTGTTGTTGTTGTTGTCCATCTTTAGCGGTTCGCTACCTCTACCTTGTCGTCGAAGTAAACAGTGGGTTGCTGAGGGTGGATGGAAACCGGGAGTATGTAGCGAGAAATGCGCAAGCGAGCTGGGTCTGGTGGGAACGAGATTGGGAACGGGCGCAAGAGTTCAAGGGACGGCAGATGTAGAAACGATCAGAAGTCGAGCTCCTGGACCGATGGATGGGATGTTTGCGCAGAGAAAGGGGTCTGTACAAGACGGGATACGGGGAGACGGGAGGAAAGGAGGTTGCTTTTTCTTGGGACCAGGGTCCAACGAGGGTCGAATGAGGGTTGGCTATGGGGAGTGGCACCGTCTGAAGTGTGCTGTGACAGAGGCGTAGCCCGCTGGAACGTGCAGTCGATGTGGAAGTGGAAGCAAAAGCGTGACGGGAGTCTGACAGGAGCGTTGGAGGCGATTCAGAGCGCTGTAATTTGGAGAACGGAGGACGTATCAGGAGAAGCAGGTGGGGCGCCTTGCTAACAATATCTTTAAGTGACCAAAAGAGACTCTGATGACAAGAAATAGTCTCATCACCTTTGAAAGACAACATCAAGTTATAAACAGACAAGGAGCATCTTCTCAAGTTTATGCTTGTTGTTCTGGAGTTTTGGCCACAGGAGAAACGACTTGTTGTGAATCTGTTACACAATCCCCAGGAATAAGGAGGTTCAGTTGTTGTAGAAAGAGGGGTCCCATGTTTGGGGCATGGTGAGCTCAAAGACGGGAAGGGGCCATTGGCCAACGTGAATGAAGACTCTTATAACTGCAACCTCATCGTTCTCACCAGTCAACACATCTTTAGTTTTCAGCAGACAATGGAGCTGGGGGTGTTCAGACAAAGAAGCGGACGCTCATCCGGTTTTTTTTTTTGTTTTTTGTTTTTGCCTCACGAGCACACCGAAACACCAATCCCCAGAGTGTCGAAGCTCACTGAAATGGCATTGGACCTCGATGGCATCGATACGCTGGGCTCGGCGGTCCTTGAATTTATTACTGGCTGGGCACGTCCCAGTGGAGCTGCAGGTTGGGGTAGCACCCTTAGCGCGATTTGACACCGCATCTTCCCTCAGAGCTCCTGCTCTTTCAGGGGTTGCAGCGTCTCGAACAGTCCTGTCCGTTGCACAGGAAGGCATTGCTGACAGGACAGCACAGAATTACAAGTTGACAGACACAACGGGGAGTGGGCAACCATCCATTTCTACGATGATTCAGTAAAGAAGAACGCATCGAAGCCATAAAATTTGAGGATGGAATACCTCGATGGCCAGACTTACATGCTCGGGTTCCCCGTGCACATGCTTTATAAAGTGCCTATAGTTCTGACTGAAAGGACGGGGTTCAATGGGCTCAAGAGATGGCAGGCAAACAACTTCAAGTTGAAATTGATATCTGAACATGGCCGTCTTGGATTTTTCAAAGAGGCAGTTTTCCGTTCATTTATTGCAGACGTTAATTGTCGAGTCTGCGTACTGGTCTGCCGGCACTCACTTACAAAAGGCAAGTGTTAATGAGACATGACGTGCGATTGACTCTCTCGCATATGGCCCGTGCACAAGCGACTACACGCGATGAAGACGGGATCTGGATGCCGCGGGAGTGTCTTATCGGCTTATCGAGATAAGCAAGTGTTTGGGGAATTTTGGCAGTCGGATACTCCGCTGCACCGGCCCCAGGTCCTCGCGACGGAGCTCCTACGGAGTCACTGTCCGTAATCATCACGGACCCTCCTCGCTGTCTTTCCAAGTGTGCCGCCTGTGACGACCCGCGGCGAGCAACCCACGAGCTCTCCATTATACAATACCCTCGCGCTGTTAGCTGCATGCGCCCGTAATTGCGCAAACTCCCATCACCACACGACATACATTAAAGCAGTAGCAATACCCAGCGCAACCAACTTGCACCATGTCCGATCCGATACCCCCGGCGTCCGCTGCGGCGCCTGCCGCTCCGGCTACAGCTACGGCTACAGTATGTTTACACTCCGGCTTCCTCGTATTCAAGTATACCTCTGATGGCTGCTAACACCATACATCTAGCCTCCTCCTCCTCCTCCTCCGAAAGCACCCAGGCCGCAGAACCAGGCGCTCCGCATGCTCGGTATCCCCAACTTGCCCAGCAAGCTTCCCTCCCGCAATTGGATGATCTTCTGGACCATCTCGGCCTCCATCACAGCCGCAATCATCTACGACCGCCGCGAGAAGAGGCGAAACATCGCAAAATGGAGACACGCCGTCGAGCATCTGGCTGTCGAACCTCTCACCGACAAGCTCGGTCTTGAACAGCCGCGCAAGCTGACCATCTACCTCTCCGCTCCTCCCGGAGACTACCTGCGAGTCGCTCAGGATCACTACACAGAATACGTCAAGCCTGTCCTTGCCGCCAGTGGCTTAGACTGGGAGTTTGTGCAGGGCCGCCGCGAAGGCGACGTGCGCGCCGTGGTCGCAGAAAGAGTGCGCAAGGTGCGCCGTGGCTGGGAGAACAAGGAAGAGGAGGACCCCAACCGCGAGCCTACAAAGGACGAGATGATAGAGATCTACCGCCACCAGCGCGGCATCAAGGACTACGACGGTGTTCGCGGCGACGTTGTCATTGGCCGTCACACATGGAAGGAGTACCTCCGCGGACTGCATGAGGGTTGGTTGGGCCCGCTGGTCGCGCCCGCTGAGCCTGCGCCGCTCCCTCCCACACCCGCGCCCGCTGCGGTCGAGGGTAGCGCACCTACAGAAGATAAGCCCGCGGAGGAGAAACCTGCGGAGGAGAAGAAGGAGGAGGAAGCCCCGAAGCCCAAGCGCCCACCCCAACCCAAGCCATACAACACCACCGCCGATTACCCGTCCGAGACCCTCCACCCCTTGACGCCACAGGAGCTCACTCCCTCGATCCCCATCCGTGAGCCTCACATTCTCGGCTTTCTCAACACCCCCACGCGTATGGTCCGCTTCTTCAACCGCCGCTCGCTCGCCGACGATATCGGCCGCGAAGTTGCCGCTGTGTGCCTGGCACACTACCGCGAATTCCAGCAACAAACCAACACGGACGCCCCCTCTGCTGATTCGGTGCAGTATGAGCAGGCGAAGGAGCTCGAGTGGGAGGAGAAGGACTGGCCCAAGAAGGTGTGGAAGGAGGATGAGGCCGATGCTGATAAGGAGGTGACGGAGAAAGATTCACACGAAGCCAGTGGTGATGGACCCCAGACTTGCGCACCGTATGAGGAGGTTTGCCTTGACGCCCGAGGACGAGGATCGGGTAAGCAAGATCAAGGTGCCTGAGGAGGAGGTCGAGGGCTGGATTAAGGGGTCATTCAGGCAGATGTACCGTTGGGGCGTCGACAAGGCCTTTAACAAGAAGAAGCTTGTCCCTTTGGAGGATAAGGATGTTGAGTAGGCGGGGTGTTGTTGATGCAGAAGCTAAGGTTTCATTTTCATGTACAAACAAGATTTTAAAAGAGGTACATGTTGCGATTACAGTGTATGAATACTTGTGAGCAGCGTTTCAGAAAAGTTGGGTATGTATGGACTATTTGCTGGCTGGGTGTGTTGTATTAAAAAGGGTCAGGTGTTAGCGGTTGCTCTTTAGAGGAGACTGACGATATATCTCCAATCTCCCTATTCATCTTACATCACGATGTTACAGCATATAATGAGGCTCCTCTTTCGAGCAAATTGAATAAAACAGGTCAATCAAGTCAACCCTGCCTTGTCTGGTGCCCGTGTTAATTCTTGATTTTCCCTTCACAATGCTCAGTCAGTCATCATCCTCATCCGACGATGCATACGAAACAAGTCCACCGACTGGCTTCTTCGCAGATGGCGCAGCCGTAGATGTAACCGTAGCTGTAACCGTAGCCACAGACTTGGCTGGCTCAGGAACCACCGACTTCGTCTCCGGTTTTCTCTCCTCCGTTACCACCGCCGCCGCCGCCGTCTTCTCCCCCTCCTCCCCATTACTTTTAACCCTCTTCACCCCCGGCACCAATCGTTTAGCCTCTGTCCCCCTCCTCCTCTTCCTCCCTCCTCCCCCTGCCCCACCGCTCATAAAGATCAACTCCTCCTCCCCCAACCCCCCCTCATCACTATCCTCGGCCTGCCCACCATAATCCCCTTCCTCGCCCCCTTTTCGTTTCTGCAGCTCTCTAAACTTCCGCAACCCCCTTCCTCCTCTCTCCGTCTCTCCTCCTCCTCCCTCCGCTTCCGCTCCGCCACCCCCTCCAGGAACTCAATCTCGTCGTCGTCCAAAGCCCGGAACTGGTTTTTGATCTTGTTGGCTTCTTCAAACGCCGCTTGCTTGGCCGCCTTGTTGGCTTGGAGCACTTCGTAAAGGGATTTTTGTTCCTGGCCGTTGGGTCCGATGCCGACGGGTGCGGTGCCGGCGCCGGTGCCGGCTTTTTTGGCTTCGAGTTCGGCTTGCACGGCGAGCCACTCTTGGGACTTTTTGGATGGTGCTGGTGCTGGTGTTGGTGCTAACTCTGTGGTGGCATGGGTTGTTGTGGCATGGGTTGTTGTGGCATGGGTTGTTGTGGCATGGGTTGTTGATGAAGGCGCGGGATGTGAGATGGAAGACGATGACGATGACGTGACGGGCGCCGAGGCTGTCACCTCTCCCGTAGAAGGGTTGATGGCGCCAGCGGAGACAAAGCGCGAAGACATATCTCAATACTCTTTTCAAGAGGGGTCGTGTGGAATCGTTGTATAAACGGATCTTGAGATGGTTGAGGGAATCTCCGCTGAATCACCTGGCCTTGATGGGATGTTTTCAGTATGGCTTTGACACCCAATTGAGGGTCACGGGGACTGTTTCGACTATTGAAGAAACCGATGAAATGGACCAAGATTTGGATTGTTTTGATCTTGTGAGTTGTGAGTCTCAGACCCTCGGTACTCTTCAGCGTTTGGTGGTCGTCTCGAAGCCGACCAATCACAGTAGGGAGAGTGGAGCATTGCACTACTTGACCCTCAGTTTTCCCAGCTCGATGTTCGAGGTCTTCACAACTTGACCACATCCTCCATAACAACTGTCTCTGGATTGTGCAGGAAAGCAAAGAAAGTCACAGAACATCGACAGTGCACAACATGAAGATTCAGGTAGTTGTGATTGGTTCATCGGAATTTTTTCATGTTTATTCATCGGAACATTGTAAAACTGATGGTTCGAGGTGCTTCCAATGTGCTGAACATTTTTTGTTCGCTCATCATTGTATGCCCCTTGCTCCTCTGCTTTGCGACGGCCCCGATCTATCTCCAGCAAAATCTGTCCGATACCATGCATGTCCCCGAAATTTTTGAACTGTGGTCAGGTCCACTGATATCTCGATCCAGCAGCTGCTGAACGGCCCCGTCAGTTGCGAGTTGATACTCGCAATGCCCGGTTTTTAATCATCTTTTGCTTCCTCTCATCATCCCATTCTTCTCCACTCTCCACACGCCCGCAATGCTCGTAAATCATGAGGGTATTTCGCGGGTAACAAAATCCATCCCTACTGGCACGACGGCCAGATTAACCCCAAACGAACCCGTCTACCGTTTTGAACGTAGTTGCAAGTCTCCCCACTCTACAACCAAATGCCGATCTTCGAGAAGAAAACAAGAGAAAAAAACACCAAAATCAGATAAAACCACCACCACCTCAAGTCCATGGTTATGGCAAACAGAAAACAACGTGATCCATCTGCCGCCAGGTACCAGAGTTCGCATGTCATGGGGCTACCCCTTGACTTGCACCCATGGGTAACTCGACATGCAACCTAGAAGATGGGGTTGAACGTAGGAAACGACACACAAGAAAAGAAAAGGAAAAAGAAAACAGCAAGAGCCCCCCTTTTTGTCCGCAAAAATGCAAAGCAGCCTCATCTCAATTTTTCCGACCTCATGAACCCCCATCCTGTAAACACACCACACCGGGTGAAAAAGAAAGCAAATATGTACCATGCCCACCTCCAAGCTTTTTTCATATATGTAAGGCCTCGAATGTACTTTTGATAGGAGACGCCGCGCGAAGGATGGCCTGCTTATGTGACTGACCGGCTGCGGTGGACCAAACGACCCTTTTTGTGGATGCAGAAAACGTAAAAAAGAGGAAGAAAAAAAACCCTGGGGGGAAAAAACATAAAACAAACAAGCTCGGGCAACTGGCTTCGACCCAAGGTGATGTCGATTATCACTCAAGCCGAAACAGGTTGAGCGGTGTTTGCTGTGAGCTGTCGCGAGATCGACCACATCGCATCTCTCGAACGGGAGTAACCCATTGTTACGAGGTATCGAATGTTTGCCGTTGGTGCCATTGTCTGCTGAGTTTCGCACCCTAACTCGACGCTGCCGAAGCCAGGAAGGAAAGGGTAGCGGTCGTTGCGGTAGCAAGTTGCCCGTCTCGTGTGTTGAAGAAAACAAGAAAAACTTTTGTCGCATCTATGCCGAATGTGAACGAAACCGAATGGTATAGGAATCCAAGAACGCCGGTTTATGAATATTACCGAACCCATATACCTAGGGAAAAAAAAACGAAAGTCATTAATCAATGACGAGTGGAGCCGTGAAAGTTTGTATCCCGCATATGGATATAAGTCGCGGTTGCCCATGTTTCCCATACCGTGGCAATGCGCTCATGCATGCGAAATGGAGATGAGCAGAGGTGGGAATTCTGCTAGGAGCAGAATCTGAAGGAGTATGGCCTTCTGGGCTGCGCAAACGATCCGGTCCATGCGTCGATCGGGGTATCTGAATGCAATGTATGAATTCTCCGTTGTGCCTGCAAAAGAACCTGCACCAGATGAAAATGCAGCGAGGAAGCACAGCTTTGGGTGGAAGCCGTGCATGATGTATGACCACTCAAACGCCGAAGCTCATGGCATTGTCGAACCGCGAAAAGTGGCATTGGCAATTTAGCCAACAACCGGCTGTCCGTAGTTGTGGCCCATGAAGTACGGAGGCGAGTTGCCCGCAGCAATACAAGTGGCGCAGTTGCAGTCACCGGAAAGGGAATGCTCCCACACATTGTGAGTGTAGTTCCAGTACCCCGAATTGCTGTTCTGGTGACGGTTCGACTGGCCGCGATAGAATGAGTTGTATGAGGCAGGCTGCTGGTATTGCCGAGACGTCTGGCAATGGTCCCTGACGGCGCTATCAAACCACTCGTTGTAGTGGGAGTTGACGGATGTCGCCGAGTTGACATACTCGGGCGTTCCGTATCCAGAGTCGGGGGGCGTCAACGGAGCCTGCTGCTGCGACCAATGACCCCACACGGACTGCTCGTGCCGAGGATAAGCAGCGTGAGTGGTTTGGCTGCGCTTGATGCTCGATAGCCGTTCATACTCGGCAATCTGCTTCTGCTCCCAAGCCGAGGAGAACCGAGATCGGGAAATGTCGGTCTTGATAGGAGGCACGAGGGATGCCAGACGTTCGCGGTTGGCCTGAGCTTGTTGCAACTTCTTCGCCTCCAGCCATTCCTTCCAGTTCGCCAACCAGGCGTTGTAATCCTCGCTCTCATCGAGGTTGACATACAGCCGCCAGCCAATCACACCAAGCCACTCATATTCCAGAGTGTTGAGCTCCTTGACGGGAATGCCGCTCACTTCGGACCAGGACTTGTTCTGGAAAGTGTTGTCGTCTAGAAACTTGCTTCCAAGGAGCAACGCGATGGTCAACATGCGCCAGATCTGACCTTCGTTATGGGTGGTCTGGCCGGCAGCCTTCATCATGTTGACGCGCTTGGCAAGGTAATTCATGCCGAGAAGGATGGTAGTGCTGGGAAGCCGAGTGGAAGTGAGAATCTGTGAAACGAACTTCCTGAAAGCGGTGTTGACGGCACTTTGCGGCATGACAATTCGAGTTGCCATTTCGGAAACGTAGTCGGCCATCAGCTCGACCTCGTAGTCGAGAACAGCGCAAACACCTCCGGGCATTTTGGCGGCGGGTAGTCGAAGACTTGAGTTTGAAGTTGAAAATGAGGTGAGGGATGGATGAGTCCGGGATCAGAGCTTGAATGAATATACGGGGATGTTACTACCCGGGAGAATTGCAAGGCTCAAGGCGGGGAGAGGATCTCGAAATGCTGAGAATGATCGAGATCTAGTGAGATGGTCTGGCCATAAGTCGTCGAATAGGTCGTCAGAAAAAAAAAACAGTTCAAAGGAAAACCAAACTTTTGAGTCGTCGCAAAAGAAAATGCCTGCAAGCAACAAGTGATCCTGGATGAAACCCCTTTTTGATGTTGCGAGCAAAGAAGTCGTCGTGATCCAATCAAGAAGACCGGAAAGTTCTGACTCAAGGGCTCTGTATCCGGTATGCAAGATTCCGGAGTATTAGGTCTCGTTGAGTAGAGAATGTGTAGGGGCTGTGAGAGGCAAGGTTAGTTTTCCATGACCAAGTGTTGCGTTCGGCAGAAAAGAGTGTATTCGTAGTGGTCGACTGCTTGCAATATGATTGCTGAAGACGTGCAGCGGACTCCAAAATTGGATTGGACGACCGGAAGAAAGACACGAAATTGGGGTCTTAAAAAACACTAACCTGTGAAGACGAAGTCGAAGGTGGCAGGTACCGACGCTGAGGTGAAGGTAATGTTGATGTTGATGACGACGTTACAATGTCCTCCAGTGATGAACCTGTGGTCGTGTCGACTTGTCCGAGGGGGATGTGATGCCGTGCTGAGTCTGACGTCGAGGGTCTCGATACCACTAGTACTGGCAAAACACTGAGAGCGCACCCTGGCTGGGAAAAAGACCGCTCCTGCAAAAGGCGCCTCTTCGTTATTCGACCTAAAACAGCGAAGAGTTGAAAGTGCACCCAAATCCTCTCGTGAACGACGCAAAACTGAATTGGTCGCTCGTCGGTATGCGGGATCCCCAGCGGATTCGGCGTTGATGGAGGGGGGAGGAGGGAAGAAAAAAGAGACGTGAAGTACGGCGTGACGACGAGAAGAGAGGAAGAAGAGGTGGAAGAGAAAAAAAGATTCGTGAACGAGAGGTTGAGAAAGACTGGCGCTAGACCAGGTTGGATGGTCAGTGCACTCCTGGGTCGGTCGACCCGTTGTGACAAGACCGTACGGGAGTGCGACTGCGACTGGCGACTTTGTTGCGACTTGCGACTGGACTGGCTCGACTGGATCGAAACCTTCAAACCTGCGCGCGACGGGGCCGGCTGCAAGGTGGTAAAATGAATGGAATTGGCCGGCCAGGACTGCCTTCAAGACGACAGACGCTAGCCGCGATCCACAGTGGCTCGTGCAGATATCATCAACAGCCAAAGAGAGAGGCGAACGAGGGCGACGACAGACCCGCCGTCGAAGTGGATGGCAAAAGCGTTGGGCGAGTGGAGTGAACACCCGGCAAAAGGATGAAAAAGAACAACGCTTGGTGGTCCGTTCTGCAGATGCGCTAAGTCAAGCAGAAAAGCCAGCCAGAAACCACACCACAGTGTAATCTGGCTGAATCTCGATACGGTACCATACACTACTTCCGCTGTTCCGTACTACGTACCCGCAAAACCCGGCACACTCGTGGTGCAGGGCAGGTGGAAGTCGGGAGACCGTCACGCCGCAACTGAGCTGACCACAAGATAGATGATGGGAAAGTTTGAAACCGCCACGGTGACGACCTCTTGGGATGGCATCTTAGTATTGAAGCTAAGATCTCGCGGGCCTCTTGCCAAACAACTGCATGTCGCCGCGGATCTCAACCTAACCGCTTGCGTGGGAATCTGTACATAACGCATACCTCGGATACACAGTACTGTACATACCACCGTATGTAGAAAGTCGACCGGAAGGCATCGTGGAGGTGCATATCCTCTGGAGATGGGAGTGTGCATCTGTAGGTAGCTTCCAGCATGCAGCCAAATTGGTACGACAATGACGGAAATGACCAGGGTTCGCGTCGACCAGATCATGTCCTTTTTCGAAGGTCCTTCCCAGGCAAGCGGACGATAGCACCGATGAAAAATTCACAGTAAGTGGGTGTGCGGCAGGAAAGGCGCCAAGAGGAAGCCATGCCACGCAAAGAGAGACAAAAGCGAAGAGAAACCTGCCGTGCCGTTGGTCAAAATTACAAAGGGAGTGGAAGTGGAAGGTGCTGCAAGTCTGCAACGAGAAGTGGAAGGCACACACTGGCACAGGGGCCGCCTGCCAGGTCCGCGCGGAGCATTTCAACCTGCACATTTTTGTTTGGCAGCTGCACGGGCGTGTGCGTAGAGTCCTACTTGTACCTTCCCGCTGCTTCAAGAAGTCCGCATACCTTCACTGAAACGACCAGAGCCCAAGGTCGGTTGTGTTAATAAGGAATATGGTTACAAAATATGGCTTGAATACGCGGTCATTTACCAGAGTAAAGTAGTATATAAATGTAAGTCCGAGTAATTCGGGCTGAATTTGCCTTCTGTCATTCCATTTCGTGCATTTCGTCCCGTTTTCCATGTGTTTTCTCCTGGTACCTTGACTTCAGGTTGAACGGCCTGTGACGTCTGTCCACTCCCGACGCTCACTTCCACAATTAGTTGCATCCTGCCATCCCAACAACGCCGTGGCAAATGTGTTCCAAGACGTAATACTAATCACCAAGAAACGATACAAAGGCGTCGTTCCATCGTGGGGGGCAATCTACAAAATGCGGTCCTTCGCTACTGCCATCATTTACTGAAATTATCAACAGGTCTGGTACGAAATTTGATGATGGGCAGGACCGACAACAACCTGGAAGATTAGGATGGCACTGACAATTGACAAGGCCTGCACGTTGTTCAGTTACTGGGTGGGGCCCAGCACTTGTCGGCGTCACGCCAATTTCAGGCTGCGCCAGGGTCTCCACGCGGAGGCAGTCACAAGTCCATCACCAAAAGAAACATCGAAAACCATCAGATGCATGTACGGGCCGGTGAGGTACACTTGCACATATCAAGCCAGGACAGATACCTCAATTCCGGGTACTGCCCTATCATTGTCGCGTCTGCCCGGGCTCTCAACTTTTATTCTTCAGCCCTGACTTTCCACATGACATTCAATGCCGTGCCCGATTGTCAATGTCAATGCTGTATCGGATGAAAGTGAGGGCGGAAATATCTTGGGAACAATTCCGCATCCATTCCTTGTGCGTTTGATATTGTTTTCATTGCAACTCTGCACTCTGCACTCTGTACTCGTTGCATTCATGATAATTTCAAATGTGTCGTCCTGCGCACCCGGCGCGTAAGTATTCTACAAGTAAAGAGCACACAGGTAGTCATCTGCTCCCAGCACCTTCCTTTGAGTGTTGTGCCTTCCCTCCTTCCTCCCTCCTTCCTAATTCCTATAGGGCAGCCACCACCCAAAGTGCTGTGAAACACTGAACACGGCATGCGCGTCCCTCCTTCGTCGGTCGATGGCAATTCCCCTCGTTTGAGGATGACCATGCCGCGGTTCATTCTCGCTTCGAAGATGAGTATTTCATCAGCGGTACTGAACCCGAAATGGATGCTCCCGGTCGTGGAGCGGATTCAATCCTCCGCAATTTACAGGCTGCCTGCCTCCTTCTCCCACCACTCGCCGTCGTTCCTTCATTTTAGGCCTCGATCGTTTCAGGCGGCCATCTGCATTGTCTATCCGGGCCGTTCAACGGTGATGGCTAGAACGAGTCATCGAAGCCGTTTCGAAAAGGAAGGGTTCACAACCTCGTGGACGTCCCTACGGTAGGCTGGCCATTTGGCCATCCAAGGGTCTGAAAAGTCCAAAAATACCACCAAATGCCACATCGGGACGGGGGATCTTCAGATGGCTTGGCGCTCGCTGGGCGCCGACACCACCAACCCACGCCCGCCCATCACCCATCACGCCCACTGTGCCTATCCGAGGCCAACCCCATGGGACGACGAAGATGACCATGTCTCGCACGCTTTCCAGGAACACGGACGGGACAGCGGAGAGCCTGGTCAGGGTCACCGACAGCTGGGGTTTTCAAGGGCTTTCCCCACCCTGGCTCACCTGGATTCCTTAGAAATCTCGAACCCAGCAGCAATACCCCAGCAACGGAATCAACCTCGGAATGGAGTTGAATCCGTAATACGTATACGACCCACAGAGATACGCCAAACTCTTATCATCCATTTCCATCATCACCGTCATGAACCTTGGTAGTACCGGGAACGACATTTTACTCAGAGAAATGACTTCTTTTGCAGTGGTTCACCAGTAATGTCTGGGTACCGAGGAGCGGCTATCTTTACTGCCAAATTACAGCCATACTAACTCATCTTCAGCTACAGGTGAGCCATTGTTTTGGCTGGAAGTTGACGTCTAAACCTACAAGTATCGTCAGAGCTATCGCATCCCATTTTCTGGCCCGGGCTATCGCGACCCCGGCACGAGTCATGGAAAAGGCTTTCACTTCGATGGTGGACCACTACCAGGAAGGGCCAGTGGCAGGCGGTGCCAGGGGACTTCTCCAAATCCTCCAGCCCCTCGGCCACCCATGTTCATTGAGAATGGTGTTGTTGACCCAGTTTCGGATGCGCTAAAACAAACCCCCCTTGTGCGAGACAGAAGCAGTTGCACAAGGAAAGCACAGCGTCCACCGTGGCTCTCAAATGGCACCAGATCTTGAGGAGCGGTCAAGGGCCGATAGCTCCGCGAACTGCCCGGACCCTCTGCCTCTGTGCCTCTTGGCCGGCTCTTTTTCTTTTTCCTCCCTCCTGAATGGCCCGAGCCGGGCATTTATGCTACAAGTGGGGACGTCTTCCAGCCTTCAAAATTCGTTTTCTCAACACACCACACCAGTGAGTCAGCATTAATATTGGCATCAAGATCGACTTCGTGAGTAGGGAATAGTGGCTATGATCGCCGAAAAGCTGCTAGGTCACGAGTGTATAAGTTCAGCCTCCTTCGAAGAGACCTAGAGCCAAGAGTGGGCATGGTTGTCATCTTCTTACAGCGATGCTGAAA